AAAGATTTTAATATTAATTATGATATTAAAATATTCAATAATATAAAAAAGTTTATCTTTTCTCTTCCCCCATTTAATTTTTATGGTAAGGGAGTTTTTCTTGAGAAGAATAAAAAAAGTTATTCTCTTGTCATTTAATTTTGGAGCTTTTCCCATTTTGGAGAAAACTTTGGAGGAGAGCAAAAAAGAAAAGATATAAAAGCACTAAAATATATATATTTTTCTTCACTTTTAAAGAGTTGTTGCCTATTGAAAATGGTCATATATGCTTTAAGGACGAGAAAAGTTTTCCTGATTCATGATTGTGGACAACTACTTTATGTCGATATCACTTGACTGGATTTCATCTATTTGTTGGAATCATAAGTCAATATGTTTAGTGACCAAATGTAAGAAACCTAATTTTAATTTAAAGCCTTGATGAGGGTGTTGAGATGCATCGGTAGTGGTTCTCGCCGAGATTCAATGAATACGCATATTTAACTTTTACAAATCACTGTTGTGTTCTTTTTTGAATGACTTAACATTAGAAGTTGTTTAAATCTGTCATTTTATTTGAAAAAAGTTTGAGGGGATGGGTGTTGTTTGAAGAAATTTTCCTTTTACAAACTTTTAGAGGGAGTTCAGTTCGTAGAATATTTTTGGATTGAATGAAATCTGTCAAAGGAATTTGACTTTGAATAAATTGAAATAGAATGTTATCAAGTTCGACCACATGTTTGGTTGACAAACATTGGAATGAAATATGTTGAAGGAATTGAAATCTAACCGTTTGATTCACATAATGTAGCTTTGAAATTAAAATGAAATATTGATAAATGACCAAAATATCCTTTCTTTGAAAATTTTGAAACCGGAATCCACCTACTATGGTTCAGATCGACGGTAGTTCAGCTCAATGGTGTTTGGTTATGGTTCCAATTGGCCGTGGTTCAGATGATGTTGGTCGGTTGTAGTTTAGATTAAGTAGGGAAGATGTGGATAATGTTATCTTTTTGTGAAATGAGATAGAATGAAATTGAATTTCTTCTCAATTGTGATGGAATGATCAAATCCATGGATGGTGGAATTCAATTTCATTCCATATGTTTCCTAAACATCCAAACAAATTTTGGTCAATGAAACTGATCATAACAATTCCTTCATCCATCAAAATCTTTCAAACCAAACACCGTGAGGATTTTAAGAAATTTTGTTTTTAGTGGTTGTAGCGATTAGTATTAACAGCGAATAGGGTTATTGGTTGAATGGTTGCAAGTTGCAGATGAGCGTCCTCATTTGGACAATAAAAAAAAGGCATAAAAGAATTCATTACAAGTCAATAACTTACAACAATGTTTAGGTCCCTACCTAGCTAACGAGGAGAAACCAAAAAGGCTAAGGTCATAGATAGCTTTGTATTAGGATTAATGGGATGCAACATGAAATTTCATGGTGTTGCTTTTTAAGGAAAATGAATTTTCACGCGCTCAAGTATTTTATCTTAAAATTAATAAAAGAGTTTTGAAATAAATAAAATAACGTTCCAATAATTATGTTGTTTTAGAAATTTGAGAAAAATTATTTTAAATTTCTTTAAAAAAGAGAAAGGAGAAATCTCTAGATTTAAAAGAAAATAGAGAAAATATAGCATAATTGTTGCTCTAGCATTTTAGTCCAAATTTATCTTTATACCGAATGGTAATATATAAAATATTGATGATGTTGATTTCTTTTAATCATTGTTGAGAGTTATTTTAGATGTTATATTTATTAAACAAATATAAAGTCAAATATTTGTGATATTAGGTAAGAAGGGCAAGGAGTTTTTAAAAACTTTAGATCCAAATCCATAGTATTTCCAACTCACTTCCTACATCTACATGTTAATTATTGTTGGGAGCCAAAATCAGAAAAAACCATCACCTTAATCACTCCCTACCATAATTTAGATTTATCTCATTTCTAACATATAGAGAGCTTCTTATAATATATCTACGTTATTTTAATATTATTTCTTATTAATAAATACAGATATCTATTAAAGTATACAAAATATTATTAAAAATAATACCTACTTATTAATGTTTGAACATGATTGAATAACAAATTATAAAAAAAGAAAGATATTCTAGTCAAATAACTCCCTCTATTAATTTAATTTAAATATATACATGAAGATACTGTTGTAAATGCTATTATTATTTTTTGTTATAAATCATATCCTTTAATATAATTATCTCAAATATACTTTTTTTTTTCACACACAAGATCTTGCATGGATTTTATTGTCCTCCTTAAAATCAAAAGCATATAATTTAAAAAGCAAAAAGTACAAAACGTGGACTGAGATCTGGTCTCACCGACTTTAGCATAAAAACATTATTATAAAAATGGAGTTCAAATGTACTTTGTGTATCAACCCAAGTCCTATGATCCTCAATAGCCTTCTCGGACTATAGAAGTCACTTTTTTAACTCATCTAGATGCATGTGCTATGCTGTCGTTTTATTACGTCTTTATTTGCTAATTGCATTTTTTTTAATTAAATTATATTTGGTATTTGTCTTATTGAACAAAATGTTTTTATCTTCAATTACATGGGAAATACATCATGATTAGATATTGTTGTCTTGAAGTTGTTAATCTTTTATTGTTTTTGAAGAAATTAAAAGGCTTATATTTGATATTTAAAGAGATCAAACGTGGATTGAAGTTAACCATGAATGAAGCACTTAAGTAATTGTGGAATGAATAAACTATAAGATTCCATGTATGTTAATTTGTTAAGAATCTGCTTAGTTACATCAGTAATATTTCGAATAAATAGAACAATAAATTATTAATTTGTTAAGGAATCTATTAAATGAACTAATAGCAATAAAATTTAATTTGTTAATTTCAAAATCCCATCTAAGTCAGGAATCTATATATAAATTGATAATATTTGGACGTCAATAATGGACGTGGCATATAACTAATTAAAATCCATGGCTGCATGTGTTCTTCATTTGTAACAAAAATCTAACTCATATTTTATGTCTCATAGGTTTATGGTTAACTGAGCATGAAGTTTGCTATTTTTAACTTTTTTAATTGCAACTTGCTTTCGTTTCAATTTATTATGATACTTTCAGACTCTCCTAAAAGTCAAGATAATGATATATATATTATTTATTGATGGTTGAGTTCCGATAAAAATAGAAGTTATGATAAGAAAGCTAACAAAAGATATTCATCATTGGATCAATCATAGTTGGATATCAACAATCGATTCATTAGATCATTTCCCATGATAAGTGCAATTCATGGGGAGGATACGTACAAGTCTTTTTTTATGCTTCTCACCTTAATTCTTATTCTCACACGATCTTTTCTTATCTTTATATTCTCTCAATAAGTATATTTAACAAAGAATTTACCCAAAAAATTAGTGTCTTGGTTCTTAAAATGTTTAACAATTTATTTGATGTTACTTGGCTTCTACACAAAAATTAAAAAATGATGTGAGTTTTACGAAATCTATGTTATTGCATCTCTGCATTAACCATATTGTCTTTTGAACATTCAGAATTCCTATAACGTGTTCTTCAACCCTTTAGGGTTATGTCTTTCAACTTGGTCCCCCTATTGAGTTTATTTATTGTTTTACAATTTTATGTAAAATATATAGCTAGCGTATGGACATTATATTTTAGAAGGTAGACTTAGGGTAGCTATTTGAAAATGTCAAAGTGATGTTGACCATCCAACACGTATTCTCGTGTCCGTGTTAGGTGTGAAAGTAGAACCAAAATATGACAATTTTTCCAGCTAGACTTGTAAATTTTCAAGAAATTATTTAACCTCTTTCGTCAGTGGTTGTTTTATATTATTGCCACTCAACACCATACACGTGTTGGCACTTAAACCAGTTCTTACTATTAAACCATATAATTGATGCTTATAATTAATTGATCATTTTACTAATAATCTTGTAGCATAATCTATTATATGTACTTGGACGTTTTCATGAAAACCATCAACAGATCATTATAAGAATATTAGCACAAGCTAAGTGAATTCCTTTGCAATTAAGTCTTCACATTTTTCTCTTACAAACCATATACTTAATTAATTAAGATTTCACTGTTTCTGGTCATTCATACATAGAGCTAAAGTTTTTTCTTTTTGTTTTTTTTTTCAAAATATATTGATTATACAACGTTTATATTATATATATATATATATATATATAGATAGATATATTTTGTACAACGCTTTCATAATAAGTTCTCATCAAACATAAGTTAGAGGCTTAGAAAGTAAACTTAAAATTAATATTTTGAATATATTCTAAAGAATGAAATCTTAAAACCATGAAAAAAATTTGGGAAGATAATCTTAGATTAAAAAAGGAAGTTAATTTTTTTCAGGTAAAATACTAAAGAAACTTTAAAATTAATATTAGAATTACATGAAATATCCATGTAGTTATAAGTGGATAAAAGATTTATCCTCTCAAAATTACGTCTCAGTTAATGAAATTAAAATATATTGTATTTTTATATATAATATTTATTTCATTTAAGTTTACACACATCATACAATTGATAATAAAAACAACAAAGTGATAACATGAGACGCGAGAGTAAATGACTAATGGCACATGCGTGACCTCCGTCTTTGTTATGGTCCCTTTAGATGATCACACAGAGCACCCTGGCCTAACATGAGTGCGGGGTCCACATCACCCATATATTTCTATATAAGTACGCACACAATATTGGTCTTTCCTGTAGTTACTTCCACTTTAGATACCCCATTCTTACACTCCCCTCCGACCCCCCTCCTGTATATATATTTAGAGTTGGGAGTTCTTTGTCATTTAATTAGGTAATATTGATGTTATTCTCTATTTGGCAATTTCAGAAAGAGGGCCATGCATATATATGAACATGATCATTATTCATCCTTTTTAACTTATATATTTCTTGTTCCTTTTGTTAGCTTAACAACAAATGGTGCTAGTAGGCATAGCAGCTAAGCTTTACGAAGCAATGGGAATGCAAAGATGGCTACCCTGCAAGAGATCTGATTCCGAACCCATGTCCAAATCCAGACACGATCATGTGGATGGTGGTTACACTATCCCTGGTGAACCAGCTGTCGTCGATGAAAACTATATTTCCTGGAAGGTACTATTTACATTTATCGATCCTACAGTTTATCACCTTTTAGTATTATTGATATAGGTATATATATACACACACACACACACACAAGAGACGCAGTGAATGCATATAATTATATAATCAAGTCCTTAATTTCAATTAATTATACAAGTAAAAAGTGATGTTTGGTTTGTTGAATTAATAGAAAGAACACCCTTCTGCTATAAGCTCATTCCAACGGATGATCAATGCATCAAAGGGAAAACAAATAGCCGTGTTTTTGGATTATGATGGCACGTTATCACCCATCGTGTGCGATCCTGATCGCGCCTTCATGTCTGATCAGGTACTTTGACTGGTAAAGTGATTATCTTTGGAAAATTTACTCAAATATATATATATATATATATTTGTCTTTTTGTTGGTTTGATGTCGTATGTGGTTATTAATTTGGTGTAATATATCTGCCAGATGCGTGCAGCAGTGCGGGATGTATCTAAGCACTTTCCTACAGCTATCATTAGCGGCAGGAGTCGTGAAAAGGTATATACCAAAGCTTCAAACTACATGCATCAATATGTATATTTTAAACCTTTATATATTGTTTTCTTTTTGATTAATAATTGTGCAAAGATTATTTAAGAATTAACTAATTAAATTATCAAACAGGTTTATAGTTTTGTGAAGTTAAATGAAGTGTACTATTCAGGGAGTCATGGGATGGATACCATGGGACCAACTCAAGAAAATAAGTCCTACGATGACAAGTATCATTACAAAACCATTGATGAAGAGGTAATTTAGTGAATTGCCTTGAAATATATTTGGGAATTAATTTATGTTTGCATTATAATTTAAATAATGTGCAGGGAAATGAATTCATCGTCTTCCAACCAGCTAAAGACTTTCTACCTGCAATTCAAAAGGTACGTAAGGGGAACGTGTATGAATGAAATTATTCATGTAATTATTCGATATGATTATGACAACAGTTTAAAAAAACTATGTCAATTAAAATGTGTATGATGACAGATGTTGAGTGAGATGAGGGAGAGAACGGAAGACATACCAGGGGTGGTGATCGAGGATAATAGGTTTTGCCTTTCTGTTCATTATCGTCATGTTAAGGATGAGGTATGTATATATCACTAATTTTAAATTGTCTGAAAGAGAATATATAAGATAGCATCCATATATATATATATATATATGAATCATGTACTGCATGCAGGAGGATTATGAGAGACTTGAAGAAGAAGTGGAGGCGATGCTTGTTAGTTATCCAGAATTCCACATGACGCGGGGCAAAAAGGTGTTGGAAATTCGGCCTTCCATAGAATGGAACAAAGGTCATGCCCTTGAGTACTTACTCGATAACTTAGGCTTTAATGATAATTCCAAAAACATCCTGCCTATATATATCGGAGATGATAGAACCGATGAGGATGCTTTTAAGGTATAAATACATCCCTCCTTCATTAACCAACTTCATTTTCATATATAGATTATATCATAGATAGGTTTAATTAATTCTAATATATAACTAGCTAGCATTGTTTTGATCAAGGTTCTACGAGAAAGAGGAGAAGGATACCCGATACTAGTTTCATCCAAACCAAGAGATACAATGGCTTTCCACTCCCTCCACGACCCATCCGAAGTACTATCTTTCTTGATTCGCTTAGGTAGATGGGGTTTTGACAACCATCATCACATCCAAGACTAGCCTTGGCTTCAATTCTGGTTAATTAATTGCATATATACATATATATATATATATATATATATATATATACACACACACACATATAGATACATACATCGCCCGTATGTTTATAAAGAATATGAAGGTATAAGAAGGAAGGAAGGGAAGTCATCTGCATGCATGAAAGGGCGCTTTTTTTATAGTCGCTCTTCTCGATCTATGATTAATTAGTGTAATCTTGTTTAATTACATATTTATGTGTATTTACATGTATTAATGGCCCAATTAAACAAACCCATCTAGAGTTTGTTTTGGGTTGTATGTAAATTATCTTCGTATCTATAATATCTTGTTTCTTAGTGTTTTCATCACTATGTTTTCATCTTCTTAATTTTGAATAAGAATATTATTTTGGGTGGGCCAAACTTATAATGGGCCTTTGCAAGGAAATGGACTTTATTAACCATCCTTGTGGACTGGTCATGGGCTTAATATGGCGACTGGAGTGTGTGTTTTATGAAGCCACAATTAACATTGACAGGGAGTAGGAGTAGGGAGTAGGGACCAATATATTTGGGATATTTTGTTGAGAAGAAAACTATAATTAATTCTTAGTGGATAATTGTGATTGGATGTCCTTGCTGTATCCTGACCAACATCTTTTTTAAACCATTAATCAAAAAGATCCAAAAACGCGTACATGTTTAAGCCATCACACTTTAAATATCACATCACTCGGTGGTAAGATATTAATTTGTCTGATCCGTACTTAATAAATAATAAAAATTAATTAGAATATGGTTGATAAAAAAAAATTGATAATTACTAAAAAATTATTCTTAAACCCAATGGAGTGCATATGACTTGACTCGTCATCTAGGTCCCAGCTAAGATATAATATCACATGTGATATAAATATTCTCGTGTTTTTGTAAATTAAGTTGTTATTATTAGAATTCATACAAAATATATAACATTATTGAAGGGGAATGAAAATTAATTCAAAACATTAAATGGTTGGATAAAGCCATCAAGTAAATAAATAAATTGTTAAATGAACTCATTCAATAATAAAATTATCAAATAAAAAAAAAGTCTACTTCGGTAGGAATGAAGATGATATTTTGTAGGAGGATTAAACCTAACCGGGGTATTAGATAAATAAGCCTAGAAAAGTAACTAGACCATCACTATATGAGAGAGATATAGTGGATTCTAGAAAAACTTTATAGAATTTTTGGTTATTTACAATAAAGATAGTTACATTGTATTATATCGTTATCATATACATATAAATATATAAATTATAATAAAAAAATTTGTATATAAAATAAAACATTTATGGCCATCCAAATACGACTGATCCTTGGGTTTCATGAGGATGCTTTATGGGACTTCTCTGAGATATACAATTGCATGACATGATTCATATTATTGTACTAGTTTAAAATACATTAAAAGTTGTAGTTTTCTATATGATAAGTTTTATTGTCTTTAACATCCTTTTACTCAAATTGTACATTGAATCTATCTATATACTCTACTATAGAGATCGCGTTTGGTAAAGTAACATATAAGCTAAATAACGATGTAAATTTACTTAAACTAATGATGTTTTTTTTAATTCTTATATAGCATAAAGTAGCTTGATTTTTTTAAGTTTATTGAAAAAGTCATGCAAGCCATAATAAACTAGCTTAGATGACAAACAATGATTGGATTTTCGTTTGAAGAATAGTGGTTGAATGCTAAACACTCGCCATTGATTATTCTAAGATCTAGTTTTTGAGTTTTCATTTTAAGTTTAATAATTGTGAGTTCGATTCCATTGTCAAAATTAGCGCAATAGGTGGTAGCCGTGGGTGATGCTAGTTGAGTTTCATGGTTTTCGGTTTTCATGTTGTTTTGAACATTGTTGTTAAAAACCCAATGCACATGGTCTCATAGATTATCCTTCTGCTTGAGAAGATGAGAGGTCCTGAAGGAGAGGAAGTAGGGTGCATTAATGGCTCGTTTTGTAATGAATTATTTTTAAATAAGTGAAATGATAAAGATTTATAAATAAAAAAACTAAAATGCCCTTGAACTAACAAACTTTTTAACAAAACTATTTCAAGATACCAAATCCATTAGAATCTGCAAATCACAATGGAAATAAGAGTTGAATTATGAAGAGATCGATTAAAAATAGTTGACTTTTTCAACTAAATTCACTTTTTAACCACTGTTGACATTAAGTAGTGAAAATTCTAAGTTTATACAAATATTTATGTAGAACTCATTTTCAGATTGAAAAAAGTGTATTGTATAAGATATTTATATAAATCCCGATTTAATTAAAAAATAAGTTGGTTGGAAAAATCAATTTGTCCATTTTCCTTTATGAGCTGGGATTTAACACAAACACTTGAACACGTACAGACGAAGGAAGAAAGCGACAAAATTGATGGCAAAGAGGTAATTAGTAAGGTATCGGAGGGCATTTTAAATTCCATTGGAGATAATACGGTGAGCAAACGACGAACAATAAACTACAGACTTGATGACAAAAGGAGAGACTTTTTTCACGCGATGAAGAAGCTCAACTCTCTCATGGTGGTGAGTCTCTGAGTCACATAAACGAGTTGAGTTACAGCACCTTTACTTTGAGTTTGAGGTATCAGTCCGTGATCGGATTCTTGTTCAGACAACTTTGTTTCTGGTGGTTAGGTTTGGTTCGTAAAGATGAGCTTCGGGAATAATGGATACAACAGTTTGGAGATGGACTACATAAAAAAGCATCACAAGCATCAGATTGCCGATAATCAATGCACCTCCGTTCTCCTCAAGCACATCAAGGCCCCTGTTCATCTCGTAATTCATCCAATCTAACTTGCTAGATATTTATTTATTTATTTATCTCTCTCTCTCTCTCTCTCTCTCTCTCTGTGAGTGTGGATTTTCGTATTTGTTCTTATCATCTGGATTTATTGGTTTGGGTATTACGTCGATATTTGCTGGATTAGATCTCGCTGGATTTTAATCTTGTTCTGGATGTATCGTTTTGGTTGGATTTTACCTACGCATGTATTTTGAAAATGTATATATATGTGTTCTACGACTGGTAGCATGATTATGTCAATAACATTTGGTGGAGAAACGAAACAGGAATTTGAGTACAGTAATTTCAGACTTCATAATGTATTGCCTAACTCTATAGAAATATTAGACAGAAATGATTGACAAACTATGACTCCATGTTTGTTTCCTATTGTTTTATGAAATCAAGCAAGCATTTTGGAGCTTTGACAACTTCAAAGTCCTTTCCGAGAATGAACTATCGGATTTAGGAGGAATTTTGTTGTGGTCTGCTTCCATGAATCATTGTTTGACTAATGGCAATTACTTGATTTTGAATAAAAGATTGATGTTTATAGGAATCGGGAGCTTCAATGTTATCTTGTTGGAACTCTGTGTTGTAATTATGATTAACTTCTGATAATAGTTTTGGAGTTGTTCTTTAATATGTTTTGTGGAAAATTTTGTCTTCATAATGTGTTTTTTTTTTTGTTTTTAGGTTTGGTCTTTGGTAAGGAGATTTGATCAACCACAAAAATACAAACCATTTGTTAGCAGGTGTGTTGCTCAGGGCAGTCTTGAGATTGGTAGTCTTAGGGAAGTTGATGTTAAGTCTGGGCTTCCTGCCACCACGAGCACTGAGAGGTTGGAACTCCTTGATGATGATCAGCATATCTTTAGCGTTAGGATTATTGGTGGTGATCACAGACTCAGGGTATAACAACTTTCCATGCTACCCCTTGTTATGATTTCATCTTGTTTTTTTATATCTTTTCTCCACATAATCAAGGCTTAGCCATAGTTAGAACCTCCATTTGTGGTGAAAAGCCACATATCAAGTAGCTTTTAGAAGTTCTAAGTCACCAGAGGAATTGTATCCGACTGTTCTTGGGCCACAGTCGCAAATATCTTCTCAAATGGATATAAGGAAAAAAAAAAAAAATTCACATCTTAGTGAGGAAAATCTAATTATGAATGACAAGCACCTTCAAATTGCATGAAACAGGGGATGCCTCCCCAACCTTTCCCTGATTCAAACCTAGAAATGGCATATCACCTCCACCCCAAAGGGAAAGTAAGTTATTTGAAGAGAGCAACATCCTCATTTCTTATGGTTGCAGCATGCATGGTGGCACAACAAAAACTAGAAATGATAGGCAATAGTGAAATACTACTGAATTACACACATTTCCTGAAATCGGATATCTTTTTGGTCTTAAAGTTATTTGATGCACAACGTGGAATTGAATTGTAATGTGTTGTTGCTGCTTTTTCGTCCAGAACTACTCTTCAATCATCTCAGTTCACCCAGAAATTATTGAAGGCCGGCCAGGGACTCTAGTGGTTGAGTCATTTGTGGTTGATGTGCCTGAAGGGAATACCAAGGATGAAACCTGCTACTTTGTTCAAGCATTGATCAAATGCAATCTCAAATCTCTTGCTGACGTTTCTGAACGGCTTGCAGTCCAAGACAGAACGGAGCCCATTGATCGGATGTAAATGTGGGGACCAGACAGGTAACGCTGCTGTATGTACCACGGATGAAGCTTCTTTTAAGGCTGTCGGATTCTGGCAACGCTTTTGGTGACGGACTGGTACCAGCTGTTCCTCCATTTTCAGCAAAATTTTCCCTCGTGTTTTTGTTGCATTACATGTCTTTAGTTTCAGTGTCATGATGGACTCTCTGTCTCTAGCCCAGCACAAGAACCACAGTTGTATAATGTCAAAATGCTAAATGGTACTCACCTTATCCAAGTCGACCAAAGTTTCTGTTTTTTGAGTTTTCAGCTTTGCTGGGATGTTGTCATGGTTTATTTGTGAATAAAAAATTATGAAAACAGGTGTCTCATGTATTCTATTTTTGTTTTATGTAGTAGTATGTGTGCCGGGTATAGGAGAGTGAAGTAGGCAGGTAAAATAATTGTGGTAAGATTTTAGAGTTTTAAACTAACATGGGTAGTTCAGTAATCTACTAATCTTTGTACCATTTTGATTTTTTCTTCAACCTATTTTGTCGGTTTCCGTTTGTCCCATTCATCCTGCCCGCTCTAATGGCATGCCATATATGGCAACAAGTTTTTGTTCTGTCATGTCCCATTTTGTTTCACGTACCAACAGTAATGGTTGCCATCATGTTTCAACTTGGTGGCCGACTGAAAACGATCCAAGTATCTAAACATGGTCATTAGAAACCTTCACTGGATCTATGTATATGGACCATATAGATGCAAATATAGGTTGAACAAGAAACATAAAAAAACCAAGATATGCCCTTGGAAAGAAATTGAAAGTGGCAAAAGGCAATGAATCCCAATGGTGATGGGGAAAGAATTGCAACATCTTGGTATAAATAATTTGGTTCTACTGCTTTGTATACAACACTGTACATAGTCCCCCATTACAGTTGAGAAAATTACACAAAAATACCTGTTGTTACTAACTATTATGCCAAAACAAGCTCTCCTTCCTCTTGTTGCAGTTCTTGAACACCTACAAGTCCTTGTCCTCCTTCATAGGGAACAAGAATCCGCTTTATTTCTTCTGCGTTTAATGTCTCGTACTCCAGCAGTGCATTTGCCAACGCATGCAAAGACTTCTCATGCTGGAAAACCAAATTTAGACAAGTCTGTTAAAGCTATATAATAATACACATTCAGGGTTGGGTTCCAGTGAGAATGGAAGTTATGGTGACCCTTGAATCAATCCTAATTGAAGATCAACACTAATGCGATGCACCGGATCAATTCCCGTGATAAGCGCAATTCATCGGGTGGGGGTCAGATTAAAAGTGATCCTTTGTATATATATATATATATATATACACATAGGGGGCAAATCAAATATAAACCATCTATAAGTTCGAGAACCTCTATGAACCAATAATTGACCACACATTTTTAACTTATATTAATTACCCTTATCAATCGTTTGTGAAAAAACTCATTTTTACCCATTCGAAATCACCTGATCGATGTAATGTTTCATACTCAAAAGAGCTCAATCTCATATGTTGTTTTGTTGGTGAAATAACACTTCATTATCAAAAGAGATCAACCCAATATGTTGTTTCATTTGTGAAATATGTTGTTTCATTGGTGAAACAACACTGTATTATCAAAACATATCAACAAACATCAACCTATGTGTTGTTTCATTGGTGTAATAAGTTGCTGTTGTTTCAAAATCAAAACAAAAAGTTAGTTTTTTAAGGAAAAGATTGATAAGGTAATTAATATAAACTAATACGATAATTATGGAAGCAAAAATGTGTGGTCAATATTGGTTCATAGAGTTTCTAATGTATAGAAAGGTTTTATATGATTTTGGGCCTACATACATATAGTTACAGTGTGGAAGGTTGAAACTAAATAGCATCAGAAGGTAAAAATGGAAGGTCAAGGAACGGTTCATATGTGAATCATTTAAAAATCCATTTGAAGATGCACATGTGAACCCATATGAATAATCTGTAACGTCGGTTCACATATGCATTTTCAAATAGATTTTTTTGGGGATATTTTCAATGATTCACATATGAACTTTCCCTTCTTATCTTTTCACGATATTTAGCCTTCTTATTTGAACCGTCCATCATATAAAGCCAACTATATCTAACATGGATAGAGATTTGATACACGAACCTTCCTCAGCAAGGATCTCACACGTTCATAGGCTTCTTTTAGGAGTTTGACAACCTGGAAAATCCATCACAAGTTCAGTAACATAAGCAATGGCCTTAATTGTTTATAAAAGCTTCGAATTATAGAAACGTACTTCAGCGTCGATACGTGATTGCATCTCCGAGCCTGGCCGCTCTTTAATATGAACCGGTCCAATCACGTCACTCATGCCGCAAGATGATACCTTCCACACAATACAACGCACATAATAAGCATAACCTCCTTAACTACCAAGAAAACTGGAAAAAAAGGCAATTTCTTTCTTGCCTGTATGCAAGCACAACAATCAATAGTTCTTAGGGACATTTAAGGCCACCTTTGGCATTAGCGAGTAGTTAGCTGAAAAGCTAGCCGTTAGCTAATAAGCTGATAAACTAGTCATGTTTGATAAAATTAGCCAATAAGCTAGATGATAATGTAAAATGACCGAAAAGGACATGTTGGAAAAGTATAGTGGGTATAATTGGAAAAAAAAATACCATGAAGCATGTTGAAACACTACTTGAATTAGTTTTCAAAAAGCTAACTTATAACTTATAAGCAAGTTTATGATTAACCGAACATGGCCTAAATCTGGATTGGTGAAATAAAATTTGAGGGTGTACCATATATTGAGCAAGTTCTGTAGCGGACTGAAGATCGCTGCTAGCACCAGTCGTAATATGGTCACGACCAAAGATAAGTTCTTCTGCAACTCGTCCACCCATGCAAACATCAAGGCGAGCCAATAGTTGCTTCTTGCTTACGGATGTTTCATCATTTGAAGGGAGTTGTGTGACCATTCCCAAAGCAGATCCACGCGGCATGATTGTTGCCTTGTGAATTGGATGGGCACCATCCGTATTCAAGGCAACAATTGCGTGACCACTCTCGTGATAAGCAGTCAGCTGAAGATACACATTACTCGAGGTGTTAAGAAATAGGGTAGCACCACATATGTAGACCAAAAGTTGGAAATCCGAAGATAAACGTGTTTATCTAAGATAAATAGCCGTTGTACTCTTTGAGACAAAGGTCAAGTATGCGTACATCTTACTAGCCCCAGAACCCACCTCATATATTGGGATCGAAGGTTTTATCTAAGATAAATAGCCATTGTAATATTTGAGGTAGAGGTCAGGTCTGTTTACATCCTACCATCCCTAGACTCCACCTATGGGTGGGATATACCGGGCTCATTGGTTTTGTCTAGGATATATAGTTGTTACTTTTGCATACATCTTACCAGCCCCAAACCCTACCTCATACTGGGCTTGTAGGTTTTATCTAAGATAAATAGCCGTTGTATTCTTCGAGGTAGAGATCAGGTCTGCATACATCTTACCATTCCCACTCTGGGTGGGATATACAGAGCACATTGGTTTTATCTAGGATATATAGCCGTTGTACTCTTTAAGGTAGAGGATAGGTCTGCCTACATCTTACCATCCCTAGACAACACCTCGGGGTGGGATATACCGGGCTCGTTGGTCTTATCTAGGATATGTAGCCGTTGTACTCTTTAAGGTAGAGGTCAGGTTTGCGTACGTCTTACCATCCCCGGACCCCACGTCTAGGTGGGATATATTGGGCTCATTGGTTTATCTATAATAAATAACAAAGTACACACCTTTTTCGACTCTTCGGATATGAACATAGCCTTGCGCTCTGTACCCATAATTATTCTGTCCTTTGCAAACTCGAGCTGTGCTGCATTCAATTTTTCAGCACCTTCAACAGCAGCCTTAATGGCAGCAACATTGACCAAATTTGCCAAATCTGTTGCAAAATGCATCAAAATGCAACGAAGTTTGCTTTAGTTCCTATTTAGTGTAATGAATATTTTTTTATTATTTCTTTATGATGTAAAAACTTACCGGCACCATTGAACCCTGGGGTACCACGTGCAATTGCCTTCACATCAACATCCTCAGCAAGGGGTTTGTCCTGTAAATATAGATCTAAAATCTCTTGGCGACCCTTCACGTCTGGATTTGGAACGACAATCTAGAAACATCGTCTTTGTTAGAAGCTTCCAAAAGATGGCATAAAGGTTCAACCCTAACTAAGGGCTTGTTTGTCAGCAGCTTAATGAGACTCGGATTATTTGGTCAGCTATACATGACTGTTTGGTAGTGGCTTAATGATATAGAAAGTGGCTTATTTAGCAAGCTTCTAGGGGGAGCTTTATGCAGAAAGCCAAGTTTTTCTCAAACCTGCCTCTCCCAATTAAAAAACACGCTGCTTTCATCCATGAAGAACACTTCTAAACAGAGAATCTTCCTAATCTATACAGACTAATTAATCCACAGACATCTTTATCCATACAAGACTTAATGGAAAACCGACCAAACATCCCCAAAGATCAGTGACACCTATTAATTTCACCAAGGATTCCCACATTTGCAACGGTTGGAAATAATATAAGCATACGTTAAAAGAAAAAAAATGGGTTCTAAGGTAAAACAATATAGCTTTCTTTATAGAATGTAAAGAAACTTACATGCCTATCAAATCTACCGGGTCTTGTTAATGCTGGATCAAGAATATCCGGCAAGTTCGTTGCAGCCATCAAAATTATGCCCTGTATAAAAACTATTTTCACAACTCGGAACAAGAATGGTGCACATATCGAGAACGTATTGAGTTTGTCGTGTGTACCTCATTTTGTTCAAACCCGTCCATTTCCACGAGCAGTTGATGCAAAGTTTTCTTTGTATGACCTTCCCACTGCTTTCGGGTCGATCCAACAGCATCTATCTCATCGATAAAAATGATGCATGGAGCCTGCATAAGTCGGCAAAATGTTTAGCTTAAAACACCTAATGTTAAAAAAACAACCAACCAGCTTAAGATCATCCTAAAGTAGAAAATCAGTTTCATAAAAAGACGGACCTTCTTCTTTGCTGCTTGAAACAAGGATCTTACTCTCCGAGCACCAACACCGACAAACCTAAAACAGGAAAAGAACCATTCTGAGATAAGTACTCATGAAACTCATTATGCTAACGCAAGAAATCCATATACTAGAACGAGAAAGATGCTTACATTTCCTCAAACTCAGAGCCTGCTCTATAGAAAAAAGGAACCCCAGCTTCTCCAGCAATTGCCTTTAGAAATATCGTCACCACTCAGGATATACAATTTGTACAAAGAAACTAAATGGCAGGCAAAGAGACAATTTATATTTCAAACAACGGAAGGAACATACACAAATCCTTTTTATATCTCACCTTGGCAAGCAATGTTTTCCCTGTTCCAGGTGCCCCAGTCAAAAGGATCCCCTGCGAAATGATCCATTAAGCTTCTTATCAGTACATTGACAAAAGACGTATGGAAAGTGCAATAAATTTATGTCCATATTAGTGACAAGTAATGCAGAATGGATGATGCAAATGTGAAGAAGTAATCATTTAATCACCAACTGTATATCATATGTACAAAGTACAAACCTTTGGTAACTTCCCACCAAGTCGAGTAAACTTCCCTGGATTTTTGAGGTACTCTACCACTTCCTCAAGCTCTTGCTTGGCATCATCACAACCTTTAACATCCTTAAATGTTTTTACATTCTGCAGAAAACCATTTCATAATAGAGGTTTAAAGACTGGTCAGCTTAATATATGCACACTAAAGAACAACCTAGGGGCCGTTTACTTACGGGTTAATGAGCTTAATGGTCTGGGTGTCGTATCCGCTCAGTAGTACAAGAGTGTTTCTTTACAGCTTAATCGTTAATTCATTAAGCCAAGATGGCTATATGGAATAAGCTAGGACCCCTCACTTGTCCCCATTAAGCCACCTCAAACAAATTAATACCAAAAATGCCCTTGAAATAATCCACCCCTCTGTCTCCCTTTAACAACAATACCTTTTTATCCAGACAGACAACTTAACCCATATAGGCTTCATAGAAAAAATGAACAGCCTCCGTACTCCTAGTTTTCTCTCTAAAACCATATAATCAAAGATGAGTAAAAACTATTTAACCACGTCAAGGATGAAGCTGTTATTTTTTCATTTCATTGTACATCAGCTCAGAAAATAGCTAAGCATCAACTATTCTCTAAAGATAGGCACAAGCGCATAAGTGCAGGATGTTTGTGTTTCATATCCCATGATATGATGTTGATATTTACTCGACATAAAGAATTGAAGATGAACATATATACCTTCTCAGGCGATATTTCTTTATTTGAATCTTTAGGGGTGTAAGAAGAACTAGAGCCTACACCAGAAGCTCCGATACCCCCTAAGCCACCAATATACTTCTGAAGTGCAGCAGCGCCCATTACCCTAAAGAAGGAAAATCAATTGTGCGTCAAGAAGAAATCAACAGAAAAAATGCAAAATTTAACATGTAATATACTTTCTATCAAGAGGCATCAAATGACTTGGGAAGAAAGAAAGAGGTCTAAAACCTCTTCTCACTCCCCTCTATCCATCTTTCTGAAACTTTGAGCAAACCCAAGGTAAATGCATAAACAATTGAAGAGAAACCCATACCACATTAAGCCAATAGCAACAGTGAATAAGATCGTCGAGATGAGCTCCTGTGCAAAACGTGATGATCTATTTGACACTTTTGGATCAACCTACAAATGACAAGAACCACTATCAAACAGAACCAGCAATCCAATTATGAAATAATTAGAAAGATAATTGGACGCAATAATCGTCCTGCAACCAAGGATTTTCAGACATGATTGTGCTACACAAATTTTTACTAAAAGATCCAAAATAGTATTTCAACGAACTCTCACCATCATTACATGCAATGGCTGCCTCTCCGATATGCCAGGATTCAAAAAGGACTCATCTAAGTTCCCTGACGCCCGTTGCTTCAGTTCTTGTAACTGAAAGAAGATTGTAAAGCACGGAATATTAGACACCACATAAAAGATTTTGATATCACTATACTAGGCACAACAAAAGCAGCACTAAAATCTAATTAAAGGTGCTCCAATGGAGGGACTGAAAGTTAGAAGAAGCTTCAAATAAAGTACAAAAAGAGAATGAAATCGCTTCTGAACAATAGGAAACATCTACTTACTAGAGCAGGAAGACTGGAAGGCTTTCCAGATTGCTCATCCGGAAGATATTCAGCAATGGCATTAGTTGCTACCAGAGCTCGAATATATTCTGCGACTCCTTTACTGTCTACAGCGTATTGCCTTTGCTCAAAACGCCTTATGACCAACTCGGGACTGAAAACATGATAATAATGAGAAAAATCAGTATGTGCACATGCAAGCACTGTTCCACAGAGAGCTGAGAAGAAAACACATCACTTCCTAAAGCAATAAAATCAGAATTTGCATCACTTAACAGCTGCTAGGCCATTGAACAAAAACAGATAATCCGTGAGCTATGTCATGATATAAGAGTAATAAAATAGAAAATGATTGCATCCCACGTCATGCATACTCTTTTCCCTTGTTATGTCATCAAAAGTTTCACTTTTCACAAAAATACCTTTTTTCAAGACTATATATTAAGAGGGGAAATTTAAATAAATAGCCAAAGCTGACAGGTAGTTTCCCTTTTTAGCCATTTTCTAACCCAAATTCACGTTTTAGCCAATCCTTACGCACATGCTTAAGGACTGTTTTTAGCAAAAAAAAGAATCCTTACTCGTATGCATAAGGTTTCTGCGTAAGGATTCTTATGTTTTGGCTGAAAATCAATACTTACGTTGTTATGCATACGCATAAGCCTTCAGCATAAGGAATGGCTAAAAAATGAATTTGAGTCAGAAAACGGTTAAAAAGTGAATTTGGGTCAGAAACGCCTAAAAAGTGAATTTGGGTAGGAAAAAAGCCTAAAAAGTGAAACCTTATTTGCCCAATTGACTATTTCTGCCAATGAAAGCACTCAGGGGTGCTACCAACAATAGTGAAGTGTGGCTGTTAAAACCCCAAGATCGCATAAAATTTTCAAAAAGTAGGGATCTTGATGTAAGGTTAGTATAAAAGTAAGAAATTTCTTAATATCCATGGCTTCCCATGAACTTAACTTAGGGTTGAAATCCAACAAGTAACTCAGAGGTACTCAAGAACAAGATACTTCATTAAACTAATCACATACTCAAGTCCATGAAAAAAAATTCAACTTTTTCACCTGTGTTTATTGAGCTCGACCAACAAAGCACTCTGTTTCACAGCATCTTTTGGATTGGAGTCTGCTTCAGAAATCAACAGCTCTAACCGCTTCTCTTGCCGCCAAAAAGGCCACCAACTAAAGCCATCCGATAACAACATTTTCTGAAATCCCGTCTTCATCCTTGCGAAAAATCCCATCAAAAACACAAACAATGGTAATTTCCCTTTAGAACCCTCCACCTCCTTAACTTGACCATTTATCTCACCCTCAACTTCATTCAAATGGACTCCACTATCAGAGACTTCACCCTCTCGAAAGTCAACAACTCGCGCCTGAGACTCATGCTCCGACTCCGGTACAAGATTATGATTATCAACACTCGAGGAAGCTAAATCCGAATTGGAATCGACATTATCTTGATGCAATGTGCAGAAAAGGCGAGACTTCTTGCGATAAATTGGTGAAGAAAGAGAACCCAAATTGAAAGAAGGAACAGGGTGAAATTGAAGGCGTGGTGAGTGAGGCGCAAGATTAGAGATTAGAGGGGGTTTACAGATGAGAAAAGCTTGAAGAGCAGACATTTGGGGAGATGTCGATTAGGGTTTACAAGGGAAGTTTAAGAATGAAAACCCAAGAGAGTTTTCATTAAATCTTGTTAGGGAGAAAGTGAACCACACAAGTTAGTGAAACAAGAGAAGGGAAAAGGAAAGAAGGATGAGGAGAGAAGAAACCTTATCTCCTGAAKACGACTGAAATTGGCGCTCTGCTTTTCGGGATTTTATATATAATTTCGATGTGATTGAATGAATGAATGGATTCATTATTTGGAAACGAATACGTGCTCCGCTGCTGCCTCCTTCCTCTACGCTCGGATCTTATTCTTTTTTTTTCCCCCTTTCTTCTCTTTTTAAGTAAAACTATGTTTTTTTTTTTTTTTTTAAACTATTTTTGAAATTACAGCAATACAAATTTGAATATAAAAAATCTAAAATATAGTCGGGATAAAAATCTTATTTTGAATATTTTAAATTTTTATATTAAAAATGAGATGTTTATCATGTATTTGATTATGTTCATCTATAGTTAGTTACACAAATTCAAAATTTAAGCTTTAATAAGTTGTACTTACGTATAATTTACTTGTTACCTTGAATTTTAAGTAATATGCATCAATAAACAGTACTTTATGCATACAAAATGTTTAAGAGTTTTTGTCAAATACTTTATAATAATAATATAACTTTATCTCAATTGTTTGTGTTTGATTAGTTTTTAATTTGGATAGCAATGTGAGTCACTTAAAATCATTTAATTATAAAATTTTATTCGATTTGAATTATTAAAATTGAATTTTTATACACGCAACTTTATCCCAATTTTTAGATTATATGTGATTAGTTTTTAGTTCGCTTAATCATTAACAATACCGTTTGTAAATTATGCGTTTCTTCCGCATCCTCTCTTATATCTCAAATTTTGGGTTGTTTACCAGACACCAATCGTATAAATAGTTATTGGGTAGGAGTCGTCGTATTACTGACCATTAAAATGACATAATAAGATTGTTGTATTTTACCATATAAGCACTAATCGGTTAATAGTCATCAACATCACTCATCTAGATGTCTCTTACTGTAAGATCTCTTATCTAATCATTGTCATGTTTATCAGACAATATAAGTGACTCGTTAGAAGGGAGATTATGATGGATGGGTTTTGTGTAGCAACATAAAAACAATATATATCTCATCATAGCACACTTTCATGTATAGTTGTTTGTGCGGTATAACCAACTAGACTTGGTTCGTTTGACTCGTAGAAAAACGAATTTGGACAGTCATTATAAATAATATAGGCAGACTTGAAAACAGTCAAATTAATGGGCCGACTCGGGTGATAAGAAAAAAATTTAAGACAAACCAGTCCTACCTTTCATTTTTAATTATATCGATCAATTTTTTTCCATAATTAATATTTTAATGGAAAATGTTTAGAATTGTTTTTGGGTTGAATCCTTGAATACCTGCCACCTCCAAAATGTATAATATATGTGATATTATATGGTTTAAAAAGTTTGTTTTTGAAGAATTCAAACTTCGACAAAAAGTCTATACTCGTACATTTTGTGAAAATATATTTTTCTTAGGCTTCGTATATATTAATACTTTAAGTTGGAAAAAGAATTATGTATTTTGAACATTATTACATAATTACTATTTTATATAAGTTTTTTAAAATGTAAATTTTTTAGGCCCATTAGCCCATTAACAAACACGGGTTTTTCTAGAACGGTATGGACAAGTTCCCAATCTCGTAAAAATAGGTGTGAATTTGCTACCTTCGGCCGTTGACCAAGGAAAATATGTTAGGCAAATGTTGGGCCCGACACTAGCTCGTCAAAATTAGGGCCGTCTCTGGGGGGAGGACAGCACAGATGCACGCTCAGGACCCAAAAATACCATGGGCCCAAAATTTTCTCTTAACATACATAAGTAATCTAAAAAATTTAATATAATTAAAGAAACCCTAAAATTGTAGCATATAATAAGAGGCAAAAATAAATTAATAGATAATAAAGTTTCAAAAATATATTAACTAATTACAGTGGAGAAGAAAAATAAAAAAAATTAATTGGTCATTCACTATATGTTATTGTTTATTGTCTCTATAATTTTTTTTATCTCCAGCGAGGTCCAATGACATAGGCTATTGTTATCTCTATATGCTTGATTGCTTTCGTGCTTCAACAATTCAATGTTAAGATCATGTGCTTGTTACTGCTATTGATATGCACTAAGTATTTAGTGCTTAGAGCACTATTTTATTCTCTTTTAGATAAGTTATTTTTCATTTATATCTCAACTTTGAGTCGTTTTATTCCTTTATTTTTCATTTCTCTATTGTAAAGCTAAAATGAATGATTGAACCTGTTTCTGTTGGATAATGGACTAATTTGAACTTATTTTGGAAAGGTTGAAGCTGTTTGATGTTGCGGGAATGTGGCAGCATGACCTGATGGTGGAGAAATAGATGGAAAAGACTAGAAGTTGACTGACAAGACCAAAAACTGACTTTTGAAAGACTTCTTAAGTTTGGACAGCTGTGTTGTTGTAAGATTAGTTGGAACTTGTTAAGCTAATTTAATTACTTTATAACTATTAGTTTACTTTATTGTACTTTTAATTGTTTTAGAACTAATTTTTTGTGAATTGTCTAAAATATCCTCATCTCATCCCTAGTATAAATAGAGATGTTGGGTTTAGTTGTAGATGTATCTCTTTCATCACTTTTACTTTTTCTCTCAAGTAGGTTATCATACTACTTGGAGAACAAGTTTTCACTCTAAATATCAAGTAATATTTTGGCTACATTTCGAGTTTCTTTAATCGCTTTATTTACTTACTCGTTCTTAATATTCTGTCTTTTATTTATTTACACTTGCTTGCATTCTATTTACGTCATTTATTTATTATGAATTTTCGCATTTTATATATCGTCATTTATATTCCGCATTTATTTTATGTCTTTATTTATCGTATTTATTTTTCTTGTCATTTACTTTTCGTCATGAGTAGCTAATTTTATTAGCTCGGGTGTATGACGAAAAAAGTGAGTTTGTAAATCAAATAAGGAAGACCCTTTTATGTAACAACGATGTTTTACTATTTCATTTCAAGTTTTATAAAACCAATGACACTTCTAGACAAGTTGATCACTAAAAAGTGTTAAAGTGCCATGAACTCTAAGCTGAGTCATTGATTGCACGTCAATTTGGATGATATGAGAAGTAGACTTGAGAGAGTTGCTAGCAAAGAGATTTGTTATTCGTATTTTCTAAATTTTAATTCTCGACATGTTGATCACTTTGAAGTGTTAAAGTGGAATGGACTCAGAGATGAGCCATTCAGAACATGTCAACTTGAATGATATGAGAATCCACTTGAGAGGGTAATTTTTTTAACAAAGAGATTTGTTTATCCATATATTTTGAAGACACCATTTCTCACTTTCACTGGTCTGGATATCTCATAGAGATATGAGTTGAAAACTATAATATCAGTGCATTGGTGAAATCCGAGAGGAATACCTTCAAAGTAATTAGTGAAAATAGTTGTTACTAATTGTATGCTGTAGCAATTTGTTAGCATGGTCTCATGCTGTAGCATTTTGACGTGTTTCATTGTTTTATAAATAATCAATAAATTTTCCTTACTAGATGTATTTAATAATGTCTCTTATATATGTCATATTTCACAATCTTTTAATCTTTATATCTTATTTTAGTTCAAAAAAATAATAGAATTTAAATATTTTCATTAATTAGGATTCCACAAAATTCTATTTAAGAACTCACACAACCGTTTGTTGAGTTTGCATATTATATGATTAATTCATTATTTATTCTTATTGGATCTCAATGGATTATCTTTTATTTCATATTCTTATTTATCATAATTTGTCTATTTATCTAGAAAAACCTTGATAATCTTCTCTATTATTAATCATTCATTGACCCTCGAGATTACTTCATTCACACGAATTCTCTTTTGTATCAAAGTAACATATATTTCTTGTTATGAACTAAATAAATTTTTACCTTTTATAAAATTTTATCAATCACAGTGTCTATATATACTTTGATTTTCAAATTACCTAACAAAAAGTAAGTAAATCTAAGTACTCTCTTATATATCTAATAAAGATAATAAGATTTATTTCCTTAATAAATTATTAGCATTTCGTGTACTCAATTTTATACTAAAGAAAAACATTTATTGGATTTTTTTCGTACTTATCGAGGGTTACTACAAGAAAAGTAAGTTTTGATGATGCGCCTTTTAGCAATGACATGTTTCTACCACAAGTTATAGCAACGACATGTTGTTATATACACTCTCTAATGATAAATTGACTTTTAGCGGCGACAAAAGTAGCTGCTTTTTGCCTTGTTTCCCGTAGTGAACCTTGTTTTTACATTCACTTAGGGCCTATAAAATGTCATGAACGAGCCTGGTCAAAACCTGTAAATGATCACCTCAACTCTCCTACATATGTTTGGTTTAGATACCTAAATTTTATCGCCTTGTAGATATTGAAAAAATAAGTAATGTAAAAAAAAATCATTTTGATTCAAGTTACAAGTCAAAAGTTATGTCCCCAAAATTTACTATTAAAAAAAATATTGCTACAAGCTCACATTAAGGGGGTGTTTGGGATTGCTTATTTGAAACAACTCATATTTTTCTAAAAAAATCCTTATTAGCTTATTATAAGTTAGAATGGTTTAACTTATTCAAAAACTTCTTATTACCAATTTGATACCGGTATAAGTTGTTTATCCAAACACTCAAAAATGCTTATTACCGATGTTACGCTAGAATAAGTCAATAAATTGTTTCTATAAACAATCCCAAACACCCCCTAAGATTACAAATTGGTTACGATGAACTAAATTCTCGATCTTTTTCAGCTTGTAGATTTTGAAAGAAAAACGGAATATTTTGGAACCACTTTTTTGATCATAATAAAGGTTCACTTCAGGCGGTGGTTCATTGGCCTGGGTATGTTTATCTTGGGTCCGGTTTTCCCTCAATGCGGCACGGCAGGTGGTTGTTTTCTTGGCGGCTTTCGCGGTCATTTGCTACGAGTAACACAAGAACAACAACGACCCATTTGATTCCAAGAAACAATTTGATGATTTGGATCAATTGAAACTGAAGTCCCAGATTACGCATTTGTCTTCATTTGAAATCTAAAATTACATCCATCTATCTATCTACTGGAATCAACGCATCTAGATGACCAAATAGGCAAAGAATGGTTTAGGTTCGACTAACAAGAACATAAGGGAGGTGAATCTAGGGGTCGTGTCTGTCTCCTTTGTCCTTCTTCTATAAGAAATGGTGTTTCCCCTTTTTCTTCTAGTTCTTCGATGAGCCGTTCTTGTGCTCCACCGCGTAGTTTCTCCAACCGTATTCCGTCCACTTGTAACATCTTGATCACTTTAACGACGTTGGTTAATCCCCCAATGACTAATAACGAGCTTGCGATGATCCCAATCCACACCCAACTATATGTCTGAAAAAGGTAGCATATCATGCAACTTTAGGCTTTTTGTATGCATGCAATTGCAATTGCATGAGGCAGATATTCGTAATGAATGGGTATCATGAATAATTCATTAATATTTAGTTCTCAAAATATATACTTGTAGCAAACGTACCAACAAATGCAACCCATGATGGTGATGCCCAAGTTGCTGTTGGAAATTGAGAATGGCTCCGGCTAAGAACAACAAGCTGGCGACCAAGAAGGGGATGTGGACGCTTTGTTGCAAGATTTGAATGCGGGCATCTGCGTGCTCGTAAATTTGGCACGAATTATGGATGGAGCCGAGGAGCCATAAGGAAGTGCTGGCTATAAGCAGGTTTAGAGCATGAACCTCAATCCTATCATAACCGAATCCTCTATCTGCCTACAACAAATGGACACTGCTCATGTTAGTACATGGACAAATGCTACCCAAAAAAAATGCATTGGCAAAGCCTTGTACAGGCATAAAGGCTCGAAAGAGGTACTATTCTCGAAATATGAACAAATGGAAGGAAACGATCTTGGATCCGGACACTACCCAATTATAGGCAAAAGATTGTGTGAGAAGGGAATTTATGTGGAGAAGTGTAGAAGAGATCTAAACCCCTTATCACTTTTAATCTCATGTGTCATGTCCACCCATGAATTGTGTTTTAAAAGTGAATTGATTAGGTGCACCTCATTAGTCTTGACATTCAATTATGATTGATCCAATGTGGAGATCCCTTATTATACTTCTTACCATAACTTCTCTACTCATCGGAACCCAACACAATTATAATCGTTATTTATGATTTTAATATAAAAAAGCAATTGATTAGCTTTTTATCAATTTTGTTCAAATATCTAAAATATATTACAATTTTCTTTTATTTGTAAGTTTATTAATAAAATTTTACATTATATTATTAAAATTATATCATAAAACTAATTATATATATAAAAAAAAAACCAAGAGCTTTTCAAATCGAATATGGACCGGCCTTAACCCGAGTTGTCTGGGTTGTTTACACCCCTAATTAAGTGATTTTACCATTTCCACCTACCTCGATAGAAAAGAAAATTACAACTCTTGCATGCAGCAAATGTTGCGGGGCATTTATGTAATTTTATTTATCTAATTGTAAATAATATTTTAGTTATAGAATTTGTTAGTATCATATCATAAGTTATATCTATACTATCTTATTCAGCAAATTTAACAAAAGTCTTAAAGTCTTAAAATACTAAAAGACCAAAATACCCTTTATACTACTCTTAGATCATTTTTTCACTTTTTCACCCCCTCCTCTCTTCACAACGATTTTTTTTTAAATTATAATTTTAAATTTACACTTTAAAACCCCCAAAATTAATTAATTAATTTACTTTACGTTCTTTACTTTTACATGTTTCATTTTAAACCTTTATCAAATTAACATACATAATCGTATATCAATTAAAACATGTTTAAAAAATACATTTATATTTTAACAAGTTACACCATTATAATCGTCTCGTTAATACCTTCGAARTGAGTCCAATATTGAATAATTTTTGACTTAATTATATTATTATATATTACATATATTGTGAAAAAATATTTTTAATATTTACGATTTATACTTTTATAGTTATTTATTTTTATATATACTATATATTTTGGGGTTAGATTGTCCAAATTGCACTGTATAATATGTTCTGAATTAATATGTTTTTTGGGTTTTTTTGAAATATATATATATATATATACATGTATTAATTCAACCTTAATCTGAGTTTCTGGACAAAAAAGAAGGTAAACAGTTGAAATTTCATTCTAAAACCCACATTTTTTTGTCTTTTCATGACTTATGATCTGTCAAATTTGTAGTTTTCTTTATTGGTTTTGAGTGTTTATCTTAAAACTCAAGTTTCTTGGTTCTTTGCTCTTGGTGTAAATCGAAYAMATTTGTGGAGTTGTTTAAATATGTTGGATTTTAAATTGTCATACAATTTTTTCATCGATATTCTGTAATTAGAACCATAACTCTTATTTATTCAAATTGTATTAATATGTAAAGACCAAGTATAACATATATCATCGTTAAATTTTATCTTATAAATCAGTGGAACTTCAAAATCGTTAAAATTCATGGCTCTCGCCACATTGCGCGAGTACACAACTAGTTACTATTAATTTATGATATATAATTAAAGTTCATTTAAAAATTCAAATGCTTTTTAATTAATACTTAAAAGCCAATAACACTTTTTAACAAAGTCAAAACAATTGTACGAATAACTTTTTCGTTAAATTATATAATTTGTGAATCAATTTCTTAACCGTTAATAAACAAAAAAACATTTTATTAAAAATTGATATAAACTTAGAAAAATTAATTAAAATAGCTATTTTAACTTTATGGTTTCACTTCTTAACCATTTCCCTCTTAAAATTACGAAAATAATCATAACTTCTTAACCATTTTTTTCTTAAAATTACGAAAATAATCATAAATCTACAATTGGTAGGTCAATAATTTACAAGAGGTCAAAGTGTTAAAAAAAGTAAAGTTTATAATTACACGGACTAAATATATAAATTTGAAAAAAAAGGGATCTGATTTATTAACTAATTTATATATTTGGTCCCTATAATTATCGACATGGTTCAGAAACTTTATATTTTTTACAATTTTTGAAATCTTTGCAAATTGTAGACTTATGACTATTGTTGTAATTTTGGAAGAGAAATGATTAAGAGATGAAACCATGAAAAATGACTATTTAATTATTTTACTACTAAAATACCGAATATATATCTAGAATATTCTAGTTAATATATTATTTACAATATATATAATCCACGAGAACAAGGAATATTTTTTTAGAATATTCTGCTTCCTGTCCAAAAAAAATTACGTGTCTGCAACAAATAACTGTTTTTTTAATATCAAATTTTATATTATTTTAATATATAATTACCTAAAATCTGATTAAAATGAGAATTCAAATTGAAAAAGTGAATAAAAAGGTAGATAAATATGATAGCAACAATAACGATAAGGATCGTAATTGAATACGTGGAGATGGGGATTACTACCTGGAGGACGAGAAACAGAATTGCGATGAAGAAGAGAAGACCTCCGACCGCCTGAACGACGGGCACCGCCACTTCCACTAGCAGAAGCTGCGTGTCGAGCTCCATCAGCCTCATCTGGTAATCAATGCCGGCAAGATGTGCGAAGAGATCGTGTATATTCACCACTATTATCAACCCTAATCCGATCAATAGCACCACCAATCCTGATTTGGCCTCTCTAGAAAGCTGTGCAATGAAACCACACAATAGCACAATCGTGGAGAATACGTAAAGCCCTGCGTTTGTGTACTCAGATCTCTCTCGATTCCGGCGTGACCCGTACATCCTGCTCTCACGCGCCGTCGCCAGCTTCACCATTCGTTCGATTTCCTAATCAGAAATCGAATGGAGTTAATGAATGGATTATATTTGTAGAAACTGACAATTAGAGAGGAATTAAGGAGATCGATTTAGAGTAGAGAGGTATGAGATGGTGAAAGAGTCAGAGTGGGGGGTTACGTGGCATTATGCATGGAGATTTACCAAGTGAAAGCATATGACACGTGGCAGTTACCCGATTTAACTTCCTAATTCCACTTTTGGCTGTGAAATGTGACTTGGTCCTCCACTTCATATATAGAAAGAAATCCATGTCTCAATAATTTATCGTGTAATATGATTGGTTGTATTAAAGAAAGCAAGGTTACTTATTTTGTATTTTTTTTTAAATTATATTTTAATTCTAGCGACAAAAATTCCCCCTTTACGGGACCCACTAATGGTATATTATTTCGTTGGATGTAACTGTATATTTATAGAAATTATAATAAAATAAGTTTTTTTTACATAGTTTTTCTTCACTTTCAGACACGGGTTCGAATTCTATTTGTGTTTTATTTTTTAATTTTAGGTTAATTATGTTTTTGAAAGAATTTGAAAGAAAGATTTGAACATAAGACCTTACAGGTAAAAGCATGAAACTAACCAGTGGCAAATAAATAAAATTTACATGGGATTTTTTTGGTTGATTTCGTAATGGTCAATAAATAAATCAACAAAACATAATTTTTATAAACTTCTTACATAAATATGTTTGATGACATCATGGACAAAGGAATAATAACCGAATTTTAAGTATTATAAAAAAAAATTAAAAATAAAAACTCATAAAAAGTATGACTTGTTAAATGTAATTATTTCTTTTCACGTTATTTCGGATAAACATATATTGTTATTAAAAGAAACGAAAAAATTTAAGACTAATGAGTAATAATAAAAAAAATACTATTAAAAAAAAGAAATAAAAGTAAGATAGAGACAATTTTAAATAAAAAATGTAGTTGAATAGTAAAACTTAGCTATTTTATTAGTTGAGGTCTTGAGTTTAAAAAGAGTTGAAACTATGACCTTGAAGAAGTGCTTCAACCATTCAAACAACTTCACTCTCCTGTTTCAAGTTTTGTGTTAAAAACATATAAGGGCATATTTCAAATTAAGCAGGTGTACAACTACGACCAATAAAAAAGGTCCACTACGACGGGACGATCAAGCGGATGCCCATGCACCCTCTACTCTATGAGTAGGTCCGCCGTTGAACCTAACCAAAATACCAATGATAATTTTATAGAAAACATACATAGCTTCACTTTTTAATCAACCATGTCACTACTTGAAAAAACTATTAGGTCCAACTCTAATTTCATTAGTCCTTATTTTCATTGATAATTTGTTTTCTATAATTCAACGGGAAAATATCAAATAAATGTGGTCTCATATTTATTTAATAGCCATAACATTATTTTGTTGAGAAAATACATCAACTCGATTCAACGACCAAGTTTTGTCGTACGGTATATGGTATTCTTCTGTCAGGTAGTGAACAATCCGATGGATTACCAACAACTTCTTCTGTCGTGAAATTTTGTATTCTAGTAGTGTCAAGAATTTGTCGATATTTCCAATTCAATCATCTTGTTCCATCGAACCATGAACGAAGAAAGGCATGAGATAAAATAGTGATTGCGAGGGACCTAAACACAGGAATGGTTCAGAGTCAGACCACGCCTTATGAATTTTTTTTGTTGATGCGATAAGAAGTTGAAGCATATACTCGGGGGGTGGGTGCAGGGCGGACGATTTTAAAGCAGACTCCCCATTAGTTCGATGCAACAAGGTATGAATAGTTCCTTGATTTGGATTAAGGGATTATATATATATATATATATATATATATATATATATGATTTATTATGATGAAACAAACTGTAAAGCCAAATCCTTAAAACACCATCTTGGTCTTGGGTCAAGATTTCAAACCATTAACCTTTTTGGGTTAACTCGACTAACAATAAGATTTGGATTTAGGTGTTGAGAGATTTTTTTCATAGGTCATACTCATTGGTTTGAGTTATGCTAGGCCATTTAGGGATCTGGGATTAGTCGAGGAGTGAGGAAGTTGTTCAAGTATTACCTTTTTTGTCTGTTGTACATGTCATGTCCTTGGTCAAATATTACTTTTCCGGTTGTTTTACAGGTCACAAATTTAGCAACATGATGACACGAAACTTGCTATAATGCGAATGTCCTTTATTGTATGATGAGATATAAGTACAAGGAGCGTGTAACTTGGAACTACAATGTACGGTGTTCTTTATGTTCGGTTTTAGCTCAAAACTATGATACAGATCACTCATATACATACAAATTTTTATATCCACGTTGAAAAGGAATGCGAAGCGATTGATGTTTCATAAGATATAGTGGCGTAGATACTCAACTCGTGCCGGATGTTTGAGCTTCATTAGAGCCTTCACTTCATGCTTTCTGACCATTTCCCTTGATATATTCAAGTTACCCGCAATCTCTCCCAATGTTCTGTTGCCTTTTCCGTCAAGCCCGTATCTTTGTCTCATCACCAAACTTTCCTTCGGCTTCAGGGAATCCAGCTGCATAGATGCATTTTGTTATGAAATCACAATTCTAGTTCAAGAAATTAAGTAGTCTATAGATCATATATATGTGTTATAGTTGATTTTATTGGGGAAATTAATGTTGGAACTTGGATTTACATGTGAGAAACTTGTCCCATATAGGAACCTCATGAAAATTATAACCACTCAATCAGGTCCAACTTTTGAGCATCAAATGAACAATTTAAGGGTTTGAGCCTTGGTTACATATATATACATTTGATGGTCATAAGATGGGTCTTGGGCTAGAATATATTGTTCTTGTTGCTTTTTTCATGTCATATTTGTATAAGAATTTTCCATTTCCTGTAAACTTATTTACATATTTCTATTTTGTGACTGATTAACAATTAAGACCAACTTAAGAATGAGATTTAGGGCAATATTGAATTTACCACATCGTCTAGTGCAAGTCTGAGAAGAGCAGGTTGCCGCCTCTCATCGTCACCAGCTGCATTAGTATCGGCAATCGTGTTGATAAACTCTTCCTGTGTGACTGCATGTCTTCTGTTGAGAGAAAGAACGGGTCTCGATGATCTTGTCACTTCACGGTATCTCTGAAGGGAAATCCCAGCTTTCTTTGCTATCTCTTCTTCCGTTGGCGGTCTCATAAGGTCGAACCATAGCTTCTTTTTGGCCTTCTGTATTTCTATTCTAACCTGCACCCATTAAAGGTTTTATGTTTTTAAGTACTGTTGGAGAAAGTGTATGTCAATGCTTCATAAAAACAACATTTGTTCCAATGACTACTTTCTTAAGTCCTCAATGCAATGAGGTCTGAACTACAGGTACAAGATTTACAACAATGTTAAGAGAAAACATACTGATTCAAGGCCAAAGGGGACTTTAATGAAACTTGAGAGGGTCATGGAGCGTATGATGGTATGTCGGATCCAAAATAGAGCGTATGTTGAGAGTTGTAGTTTTCTTCCTGGTTCAAACCGATCAATGGCTGTGATCAGACCCTTCACTCCTGCCTGGCAGAAGTCTTGAAAATTTCGGCCATTTGCAAACTCTTGAAAATATTTGTTCATGACAAACAATACGAGTCGAAGATTATGCTGCAAAGATATTATCATAACAATTCCTCAGTTAGACTCGCGTAATAATGCCTGCTACTACTGCTCTACTCTTTTGGAAAAATCTATTGGTGCAATTATCAAGGGTTATGATCTGCCTATAAAAGCATTAACAATATTGCATTTCAATGAAAGAATGTGCATTCATTGCAGGATTAAGAATGCATGAGTGTCGTCCCTTTGAGGTTAAGATGGATAACACTCTGCCTAAATAGAAAAATATGGCAATAGACCCTGAAAGACTACTTGATCCTTATTTTTCTTATCTGATCAGCAAGGCTATTTTATTCATGAGAAGTGATCTAAAAGTAGGAAAAACCAAAAAACTGACTTCCTACTCTTAAGAAATGGCATGTTGGAGAGATGGAGACCTAACTTGTCACACCTTAATCAATTTGTTTCTGGCTGCTTGGCCAACTCCAATTTGTTTCCTCAATTGTGATACATTCATGTTTGTTGCATCTGCTACCTCTCCATCTGTTGGTTCTCTAGCCAAAACAGTCTGTAAATCCTCTTTCACTGCAAGAATTGCCTGTTGAAGCAAGGAAAACCACTAAGAAATGAACTTAATATAAAATCAATGATTTTGGGGAAGACTTGAAATTCTCACCTTCATAGTTTGTAACGAGATAAAGAGCCGAGTATGCTCTGAAGAAGGAAGAACTGGCGGGATCTTCATTTTCTTCCAATCTAAGCTACCTAAATCCGTAGAAGCGGAGTAGTCCCTAACCAGTCTGTTAACTTTTTCGTCTTCATTGATCTTGCCATGCTTCCTCTTCTGCTTTGAAGTAATAACCGCAACATCTTTCTTATTCTTCAGTTGAATCCTCTTTTCAAGGCTCAACCTTTGCAACCTTTTATGTTGACCCCTCACAATATCAACTGCAGTTCTGCTTTCAGGCTTCTCATTAGCATCAGAAATCTTCCTCCTCCCTCGCCGACCCCTTTTGATCACCTGATCATCATGGTCCTCGGTATCAGATTCAATAGTTGTCGGACTGAGCTTGTATATCCTATCCAGTTCAGCTGCAGCCTCATTGTAATCCAAATCTAATGAGCATGAAGGAGCTTCAGCAGTAGATAAAGCTTGTACTCTTTCTGAAGGCTTCTTATTCCGTCTAATTCTCTTTGGGTTTTCTTTAGATGTATTGACAGATAAATTTGCAGATTCTTTGGATGAAACCAAAGCAGTGTTCTTGGTTTTATCTGTTTTGAATGCTAATATTGTTGTTCTCTTAGTTGGAGATGAATGAGTTGAAAATCTTGCACTTAATCCAAATGGGGTCCTTGCAGCAGAGCTAGATACAGTCACAACTCCCATGCCAAGAGGTATCTAAGCAGAGCAATGGAAGAGCTTTTACTTGTAAGATAATTCCTGCACCAAACAAATAGGTAACTGAATATGAAAAATCATTGTACAGAAAAAAAGATATAACTGCATATCAACTCCCAACTGACATAACTTCAACTAAAACCTTATAATAAAACACAATAGCACACAATCCCTTATAATCTAGTTACATTTCAAATATAGCATGCTGAATTGATCATTTGATAAATGAACATACACAGGGTCTCAATAAATTGGCGCAGCTGGGCGCGTCCAAATAGTTGAGAATTTGTCATAAGAACCTGGAGGCCATGAGCCTATGAGCTCAAATCCCACCTTTTAGTTGCCAAGTGAATTTTTCTTACATCACTTTCTACCCCTTGGGAGGTAAAGTCTATCGAACATCCTACTCCGAAATATCACCAAATCACTCCGACCCAAATGCCAAAACTTGAGTCCAAGCTTCCAAACACTAATATAAGATATCCCCTAATTGAAGGGTTTTAACAACTAACAAGGTTAAGGAACAAAGAGGTATCTTACATAAATCAGTGTGTTGAAGCAAATATCAAAGCTCGGAGATCAGGATTAAACTTCAAATCCATTAACAATCAGTAAACAAACTTATCATTCTTGGCACAATTTTAATACGGATCACTTAATTCTTATAACCGAACGCCCATATAAAATCGATAGAGATCAAAGGAAAGCACAGATCAAAGTGACAATTAACGTTGCAAGCCAAAATCCTGTTCTCGAGATTATATTTTTTAACGGTGCCGGTACTCTGGTAACAAGGCCAACACATTTAGAAGGCTAGAACTACTTTGAACTCAGTTAACAAATAAGTCGAACTTATGGAACAAAGCATAATATATCATTCGATGAAGAACAGATAAGCCATAAGAAATCACACAAAGAAGAATACACACACTGTACCTCAAAGACGGACGGGTGAGTTCGCCGGTAGAAACTCAAACAACACGAAGATTCGAATGTGAAATCTCAGAGGAGTTTGATCGAAAGTAAGAAATAATCCTTGTACTAGAATTTTCTGAAACTGAAATAAAGAAAAGAATCAAAGAATTTACGGGGAATTATGGTGGCCACAAGCAGGAGTCGACGGCGGAGATGAAGGGAAAGGAGGAGATCGGAGGGTGATGGTGGTGGGGGAAGACGTGGCAAGAGGTGCAGCAGAATAATCTCGTGGAGGGTCGTCGTGGCAATTTCTGAGTGGTGGAAAGATATTTGGCATCAGTTAATGGATGAACTTTTTGACACGTAAGTTGGACTTGGGGTAGTTACGTGCACAATCACAACCATTTGAAGTGCAAAATGGTAACATCAATTGACGTGGTTTAATTTTAGCAACAATTTTTTTAAAAGTCAAACATGTTATACAAATCATGCCAAAATTGAAATACAATATAGAAAAAAGTTAAAAAAAATCTAAATAACTTTAGTTGGAATAATTAATTCGTTTGATAAGTTTTTGAAATAAGTAAGTTTTTGAAATATTTCAAAACATGTTAAATAGTTTTTTGGACTTTATAAAATCTGTTAGATACATTCTTATTACATATACAACTAGTTAATATGAAAAAATGATGAAAAAATCTTAAAAAAGACCAATAGACTTTCATATTCTGAACGATTAAGTCCTTAAATATTTTTTGAAAAAAAAATATTTAAATCTATAAAATAAAACGAATATACCAAAAAAGTACTTACATTTAAAAAAGATTACAAGTGAAACTTATTATAATTTAAAATAAAATATATTATGTCAGTGATTTTTCAAAATAAAAAAAGAATTTAAAAAGATAACGATTAAATTTATTTTAATTAAAAATAAAATATATTTCGTATGTGATTTTTTATATTAAAAATAAAATATATTCCGTTGGTAATTTTTTAAATTAAAAAAATAAAAAATAATTTGATTGACAGATTAAAGATAAAATTTAACTAAATACATAATTAATTAAAATTCGTCGTTAGTGTTAATTGATATATATGCATGGATTACTTATATATAATTAATGATAAAATTGACCACTATCAGACGCTTTAACACAGTAACATGCTAATAAGTGTGAAAGATCGTGCTTGAATCTTGTCGGTGATATCATTTAACCGACAGATTAGTGACGAATTTTAATCAATTGTGTATTTAATTAAATTTTATTGTTAATCCGTCAGTATTTTAATCAAATTATTTTATATTTTTTGATTTGAAAAATCACCAACGGTATATATTTTATTTTTAATTAAAATAAATTTAATCACCAATTCTTTTTTAATTACTTTTTATTTTTTTAAGTTTAGAAAATTACTGACAGAATATTTTTTAATTTTTCAATTAAAATAAATTTTATCAATAATATTTTTTAATTATAAGTACTTTTTTGTGAATGTAAGTATTTTTTTTTGGTATATTTGTTTTATTTTATAGATGTAAGTATTTTTTTTTGTTCAAAAAATGTTTAGCGACTTAATGATTCAAAATATGAAAGTTTATTATTTTTTTTCCAGACCTTTTCAATTATTTTACCATATTAACCAGTTTTATAGTTCATAAATATGTATCTAACATGTTTTAGAAAGTCCAAGAAGTTATTTAACAAGTTTTGGAATGTCCAATGACTTATTTGTTCCAAAAAATTGTCCAATAACTTAATCATTCCAAACCCTAAAGTCTATTGGGTTTTTTAGATTTTTTCCCCTATAAATATACAACACTAAAAAGGTACTCGCACAATGCAGCGAGATACATCTTAATCTTAATATTTCATTTTATTATTTTTCTCAGTCGATATTATAATATGGTCTTATGTGATTTTGAAAAAGCGATGATGTTTTTAGTTTAAAATAAAATATAAATTTAAAGATATCATAAAAATTTGACAAAAATATATGGATATTAGTATCAAATTAATTATTTAAAATTCATCATATTTTGTGTAACTTTTTAATTCAATTCTTTTATTATAATTTAATTTAAGTTCAATAACGAAGTAATTTATATTTAGTTTAATAATATAATTTTCTTATAAAGATAATTAATTATTTTGTTAGAACTTGATAATTATCCTAATTATATTATATATATTTTATATTTTAAAATGAGATGTTTATCCTCTATTTGATTATATTTATCCACAGTTAATTACACGAATTCAAACATTGAGCTTTAATAAGTTGTACTTAGGAATAATTTACTTGTAATTTTGGATTTTAAGTAATATTCATCAATAATTAAAGAGTACTTCATGTATAAAAAAATGATATTTAAGAGTTTTTGTCAAATGGTTTATAATATAGTATAAATACACTAGTTATGTATCAGCTGCAATGCAGCTAAATATAAATTTTTTTTATAAATAAAAAATTAGTTAATTATTTATAAAATATTCTACCCTTTAAAATCAAACATGCATGTTACACAAATCATGCCAAAATTGATCAATGATGGTTTATTTATTATGAATTATAAGCTGATATTGCTTATCTGTTTTGTTATTAAAAAAAAAAGTGTAGTTGAATGTTGATGTTGGGATATTGTAAATTTAAATAACACATATGTAAATAATAATTTGTTTGAATATCATTATTTAATTTGATGAAGAAACAATTAAATTAAATAAGATGGTATGATTTAAATATTTAATTACGGTTGTTATTTTATCAGAAAATACATGATCGGGGCCCACTGTTCTTAAATTCCTAGCTCTCCCTCAACAATTGATCGAGCTGTTGGTATATATAATTTGGCAACAACTAGTTGTTAGGTTACACACCTACCCAAATGAGATGCATAAATGAGAATCAATTGGAAAGCAATGTCAAAACCCTAGCTACCTTCCCATTTTCATTTTCAGGAACTAAATTAATATTCACACACAATTCCACAACTTCAAATAAAATATTGTGAGAGTTCATATGTGAATAATTGAAGAAATATATTTGAAAATGCATATCTAAACCCATATGAATGATTTGTAACGTCGATCATGCATATATATATATATATATATATATATATGAATCTTCATATAAATTTTTTTATAGGATTTTTCAATAATTCACATGTGAACTTTCTTCTCTTAGAGCATCTTCAACAGATTCTTCAAAACGAAGATTTCGACGATTTTGGACATATTTTTCGCTTCAACAAAAACTCATATCCTCAACGAGTTAACAATGTAATGAAATCACAGAGTCATAACATCAAAATGTGAATAACATAAATCGAATATAGAACCTAGTAATTAATTAAGGATGACAGGATACAAGAGTTAAGCCAATGAATTAGTGTAATCGATATACAATTGACAACTAATTAATCAAGATATGATTACTACATCTGTTAGTTACTCATAACAACATGCACACAAGTCGTATTTAATTAAGCCTCTCTGATTACTGCTGCAAAGAGAGGAGGTCATATTATGATTAGGTTTTGATCAACATCTCCAGAACTGCCTTCAATTATCTTACCAGCTCATGACTTCTTAATCCATTCATATTGGTAGAAGGTATATATGATCTCAAAACAACAATAATACGATCATGAAACTGGATCAGGCAGATGATCGAGACCGAATACCGTCTACTATACCATTACGTAACGCTAGCTGAATGTTTGCTGAATGTGTTCAACCAGGTCCTCCGCACTTAGCTGGCATTCGATTCCAATCTACCACAAACCCCAATAATACTTGTTAAGTAATCAGTGTAGCATTAACGATGTATGTATACATATACACACACACACACATAAAGGATATATAGAGATTAGAGAGAGACACGTACAGAACTCAGGTTGTCAGCTTAACAGTAACTGTGGGTTCCAAAAGAGTTGCCATGCAACACAAACTTAACGGGCCGTTAATTAAGTTTTTACCTTTTTCTTCAAGTTTTGTAATTATTTAATATATAAAGGTACCTTCAATTACTAAAGAAATGTTGTGATTAATTAACATGGGACATCCCCCAAAAAAGTAAAAGTAAATTTGCTGTTTTTGGTTGGGAGCTAGATTGAAACATTAGGACATGTAATTGAGCACATGCATGCATGCAATTCTTGAGTCTATGGCTAACCTTGATGGTGAAGGATTGCACCATAGTTTCATCAGCTGTGTTAATGCTCGCCTGGAGGATTTCAAGAGAAAGGTCTTCAAGAACCGAAACTATTTTCGTTGCTTGACCAGGCAACCGAGGCGAGATAGTTTTCAGAAGAAGATTAGGGCCTGAGAACTTCACCTCAACATCAGCAATGGCTGACTTTGAATTCGCAACGAGTTCGTTAACAATGTCTGAAGTTGAGGAAGAACTAGAAGGTGAAGGTTCAAGTGAAGGTGGTGTTAAATTCGCTGCCATTGGTGATGGTATTGGAGGTATGTAAGAGGAATTGGTAGTTGCAGGTTGCTGGAACCTAGGTTTGTAAGGGCTTACTGGTTGTGGGGTTCTTGGGCTAATGGGCAAGAGGGGCCGAGGGCTAATTGGCGGTTTCCGAGGGCTGAGAGGTGAAGGTCTAGGGCTTGAAGAAACAAGCCTTGGACTTAAAACATCACTGTAAACTTTTCTTTGCTTCTTTGCCTCTAATGATTGAAGAACTTGTTGCAATTCAGCGATGTAATCAACTACTCCGCCTATTATTGATGCTTGATCACCCTACACTTCATAAAAACACAACAATCATTAAAAAGAGATCTAATTTTGTGAACTTTATAGCGCAAACCCACACCCACACATATATAAATATATAAGAGTATGTTTGTTAGCGGCTTAACGAGACTTAAAGCTTATTCGGTGAGCTATACAATTAATGGTGTTTGTTAGTGGCTTCATGATATGTATAGAAAGTAGCTTATAGACCGATTATTCTATACAAACAACTTTATCTATACGGTACTTAACTGAAACCAACCAAACAACCCCAAAATTTAGCTACATACCCTTTTGACATAGAAGCAAGGCATTAGTGCACGAAGAACGGTTAGATGCTCGTTCATCTGCTTCCTTCGGTTCCTCTCCACCGTGATATGCGACACTTTTTGCTGCCCGTCTGAGTTTGCACCGCCTTGGTCGACCGAAGACAGTTTTTGTCTCTTGGTCTTGGGCGAAAGCATCTCCAGCTCCGCCTCTACGAGATCTTGTAAAACACTGCAGGAAGAAGTGGACTTCTGTGAGACCAGTGGATGCTCATGATGAACATGATCTTTTGCATGAAACCCAGTTTCCAAAGGCATCATAGATGTGAATTCATCGGAACCACCCTCAAAAACTTCAAGAATACTGAAGATGTCGTTGGTAGATGCTGTAGAGGGTGACAAGAAATTGGTCTCTTCAAACTGCCCGGCATAACTATCGAAGAAATCCGTCAAAGAAGTACACCGATCACCACTCATTTTGATTCTTTATTAATAGAAGACAAGAAAGATCGATGAAGGTATCAGAATTACCAAGTCTGGGCGTTGAATCAGAAAAACAAACAGGTGGTGTGCAGTTGATTTTGTTTCAATAAACACAAATGTTGGTATTTGAGGGAGAAACCCAAATAAGGCTTAGGGAGAGGGAGAGAGAGATGATTTGGGAGTTAAGTTTGTGAAGATGAAGAAAATATAAATCGCAAAATCTTGAGATATTAATAGACGTATCTGATCATGGATAGTGACGCATCTTCCATTCATCTCTTCAAGAAATTCTTTTTCATAATCATCATATTTAATTTAATTTTTATTAATCAAATCTAAAAATATTTTTTATTAACCTGGATATTCACCCTATACGAACCGACTAATCTTAAGGCGACCGTCTCCTTTGCAAATAGTCTGGAGTCACCGCATTTGAATCTTTATTGCTACAAGAGGATTTTTATTCCTCTTTGGATTTGAATCTGACACAAACCAATTAGGCATCACCTTGTGATTAATCAAATCTAAATATATGATCATTGTATGTATGTATGTATTTATTATAAAACCATAATAAAATGAGTTGAAGTCTTCACCGGATTTTGATGAATGGTTATGGCCGGTGAACCATTTTTCTCGAGAATTTATTGTAGGCATTTACTGGATCATATCTGAACCGTTGGATGACAATTTTTGTGGGCATCTTCATATCTGTTGACTTTTTCAAATTTAAATTCCTACTCTCTAAAATATTTCGAGTTCACATTTGGAAATTTGTTATTAATATATACACATATAAAATATATTTTTATTTTAGATTATTTTTTAAAAATACATATTTTTTTAATATTCTTTAATCTAATTATTTTTTATTTGTTAATCAATACTTTTATTTTTATGCATAGGTTTTTATATTTATTGAAAAATAATATTAATCAACATAAATACTTTTGTTAAATTAAGTTATTTGAATATTGTATTTCTCTAAACACCATAATTTTCGAATGTTTTTAAAAGAACATGAATTATGAACATAAATTGATGGTGAAAGAATAAAAATTAGTAACGAGGCCAGATTTATGAGAAAATCGTAAGAAAAATAAAAATCTAGTGAAATATCCATGACTACTGATTTATACGCTATGCATATTTATATACAAGAAAACATATTCAATTATTTAAATGTACATAGACATACCGTATAGATATAGTTGTTTATATATTCTTATTTTTTTCATTTTTAGGGTTTTCCTTTAAGAGTAATGAGATTCATAAGATTATATATATATAATCAATGGAAAAAAACATATTAATTGTTGAAACTTGACTTTGAAATAGTTGATTTTCAGTTATATCGGATACGGTACCGTAAACAATAAATATATATTATAATATATGAGAATTTTAGCAGGAGGGCGTGTCGGTTTAACTTACGGTATGGACGTTATTTTTGTACTAACGAGCGTTATTTTGGTTATATACATGTGTGAGCGCGCGCGCGCACACACACACATATATATATATATATATATATGTGTGTGTGTGCGCGCGCGCATGTGGACATTAACTGTGATCATTTTTGAATTTGAAGATATATGTAATAATTATGATATTTAAGAATCATGTATGTGAAGTCATGATGGAGGTATAGAAATTAAAAAAGATTCTGATGTTGGGTTTGAATTAATTATCCTGAAATGAAAAAGAAAGAAAACAACAATACATGATCCTAAAAGAAACAAATATATTGAGTGAATAATGATGAAGCAAAAGTGAGTGAAAAGGATGCATGGAATTCAGCCAACTTTTGTTGCTTAGCTGATAAATGATGATGAAGACTTCATAACTGCTTCCCATCTGCTGCTTCCTGTCGGCTTCTTTTTCAAATTTTAACCTCCCTCCTCCGCCATTAATGGTGGTGCAGGGTGGTAGGAATCCGCCGGAAACTAACAAAGATGATGGTGGTTTTAAGTTTTTTCATTATTAATTGCTTCTGATATATAAGAGTTAAAGTTTGGAATTTCATAATAAATTCATGAAGCAAGAAAGACAATTATGATTTGTTACTGTACGTGATGGAATTTATATATATATATATATATATATATATAATTATAATAATAATGATGATGACTCGAACACTCTCTTTTTGTATATGTTTCTGTGCATGAATAATTGAAGTATTCATCACTAATACCATGCATGCAAAATAAGATGTACACGGTCGTACCAGCAACAGCTATTTCCATTTTTATGTTGCTTTACAACCTTAAACATATATATTACTCCATCAAACTATAGCTATATATATATATATATATATATATATATATATATATATATGGACCCATTCAAGAGAGATCTGATTAATTTGTGGTAACTGTGAGATCCAATCTCAACCACAAATCAACGGATAAATTAGGAAATTAATAATTATGGTAGTTTGAGTTAAAATTATAATTAGATGGCTTTTTAGGTATTTTAAAAAACTTCTCCCTCTTCTCTCATCTCTCCGACCTCTAATCTCCGGCCTCCGGTGAACATTAATCCCGCAGGTACCAAGTAATCACAAAGATACACAATGTGATACCCATTGTGATATACTGTGATACCATTGTGATGCCAACTATGATACCAACTCAAACCTTAAAAACAAAGATACACAATGTGATACCCATTGTGATATACTGTGATATCGATTTCACCAGAGGCCGAAGATTGGAGGTCGGAGAGATGAGAAAGGAGATATGAGAGAGAAGTTTTTTAAAAATACCTAATATGTCATCTAATTATAATTTTAACTCAAACTACCATAATTATTAATTTCCTAATTTATCCGTTGATTTGTGGTTGAGATTGGATCTCACAGTTACCACAAACTAATCAGTTCTCATTTGATTAGGCCCCTATACATATATATATATGTATATATATATATGTATATATATATATATATATATAGAAAGAGAGGGGGGGATTCCGTTAATTAAGAACCTAAAATTGACTAGGAACTCGGGATTGAGAATCGTGGGTCTGTATATAAACCAAAAATTAATGTATTATTCATGATAAATATTTATCACCGTCAGAGATGTGTAAGTGTACATGTATGTGAGATTCAGAGGAAAATCTCCAAAAAAAATGAAAAATTAAGAAACACTTTCATAACCATTTATATGTACGATATACATATATGCATACAAATAATTGAAGGTGTTTTATGGTTTCTATACACGTGTAAGTAAACGGTTATTAAGATGTTTCTCAGTTTTTTATTATTTACGATTTTATATATGTATATGTATATGTATATGTATATGTATATGTATATGTATATGTATATGTATATGTATATGTATATGTATATGTATATGTGTGTTAAATGAATGAATTAGGAAGGAAAGGAGGAGGGTGGGCGTATGTACTGACGGCGCAGTGCAGTCTGCAAGTTGTCTGATCACAGCAAATCTGCATATGAAATGAATGAACGCAAAGATGCTTCAATGCCCAGACACACCACGGTTTCTCCGTGCATGCCCCCACACCCCAATAATTCTCTTTTTCATTATTTCTATTTTTCTTTTTCACAATTATATAATTTTATTTTATTTTATTTATTCATCAATAATTATTACACTACTATAACTATATATATATATATATATATATATTTGTAACATTTGGAATCGATAAAATTGAATACGGAGCCTTTATGAATCAGTACATATGAATGTGAGACAAATCCTGGGGATGATTTGAATAACAACTTGAATAAATAAATAAATAAATAAATAAGAAATTCCATTAAATGAGATTTTGATTGCCAGATTTCAAAGAAAATTTGAATTATTTGAACAAATTTCGGTGCACCTTTTTAAATGACTTCAAAAACCCATCAAAATCAGATCAAATCAAACTAAACCATATACATCATGCTTCGAAGTGCGGTTCTAGTTGAAAATATGTACATAAATATTTATCATCTATCCAATCAAAAAGAACTGTTATTTTGATAAAGATCATTAGGTTAAAAAATTGCAAAAAAGTTTTGGAGAAACCCTAATAAGTGTTTTTTTTTTTTTAATTTTGTCAAAAGAATTTGAGAGTTTGAAAAAGCAAAGAAGAAAATGGGCCCAAGGAAGCAAACAATAATAATTTTCTAAATTATTGACAGATATACTATAAAAAGTACGCAAAAGGTACATTAAAACATAGGAACAACACTACTAATTAAATAACTAAACATTGTTATGTCTCTCTCTCTCTATTGTAGGCCTTTAGTATTAGGTTATTTGTCGGCTCTTCAATCCTACCCTCGTTTCACCATCTAGTCTCTCCTCCTGGAATACATATAGGCCTCTCAAAAACTTGTATGGTTGTTATGTTTATCCTTAACTGCTTATCATAAATATATCCTTTTCTTGGCATATGTCCAATCTTTCTCACGTGTCTACTCTCATGCTTTCTACCCTCCTCGTCAGTGAAATTTTCAATCGGTCTCATGCGAATGTGTCCAAATCACCATGATCACCCCCTCTGAATTTATCTATAATATGGATAACTCACATCCTCATTTCTACAACTTCTTCTTCTAGGCTTTCATTGACACCTACCACCCAATAACCCATATAACATAGTTGATCTGTAGTCATCCTCTAGAGTCCGCCTTTTAATTTAGTTTTAATGGGAGTTTATCGGCGCACAACACTTCAGTGACATTCCTCCACTTTAACCTGTGTTGTGTCATCTTTGACATCTCTATCATTCAGGCAAAATAACACCGTATATGGACAAAATGACCATTATGCCCTTCAATTAAAAAAATTCTAAGGAAAACTAACATAAATTTCAAGATTTACATTTTGGTTAAAATTAATAAATTGTATTTAGAATTTATATTTATGTTTGCTTATTTGTGCAATTGAGATTTCATTCATTGATGACTACTGACGTAAAACTTCACGACTCTAATAACAACCACCACACATACCTCC